ATGGTGGAATGGGAGGGAAGCCCGGAGCAGCGTAAGAAACTGGATGGGAAAAACACTGGAAGGGCTGGTGGCTATCAACAAAGGGCTGTGGCCTGGGGCATGTGGGGCTAGGAAGGGACAGGGAGCAGCGAGCCCTGAGTGGTCCTGAGGCCACAGCTGCCCAGGAGGCTCAGGTGTGTGCCAGATAGGGTAGCGGTGGTGAGTGCTGAGGTCTGTCTCTAGGGGGTGCTCGTGGGGTTGTGATCACTGCCACGGGCTCATCTCCCACTTTTCAGTGGATTTTGTTTATTTATCTGGTTTTGACTTAGAAATTCTTAGACTCTATTTTGTGTGCGCTCTCAGACTTCTATACCCAGCACATGAATCTTGCTTAGAAAAGCCCACATGGGACCCACATGCCTCTCTCCCTGATCTTCTGTGTATTAATATTCAAAAGGTATTGCACCTTTTCAGATAAAGTTCTTTCTTTAAATAAAATTTCCCAGGGGTGCCTGGGTAGCTAAGTCAGCTCAGCATCCAACTTCGGCTCAGGTCATGATCTCATGGCTCACGAGTTTGAGCCCCGCGTCAGGCCCTCTGCGGTCAGCACAGAGCCTGCCTCAGTTTCTGTCTCCATCTTTCCCCGCCCCTCCCCAGCTCCTCCTCTCTCTGTGTCAAAAATAAGTAAAAACATCAAAAAAATGTAAATAAAATTTCCCCCGGTGTAACAATAGTTGACGCACGAGTGTTAGGATGTACCAGTTAGCATACCGGACTCTTTGTGCCCGTGGTATTGTCCACACTGTGCCACCAGGTCCTAGATCACATCGCCCATTTTACAAAGTAAACCAAGAAAGTAAGGCACAGAGAGGTGAAATGCCTTTGTCAGGTCACATAGTGAGTAGGCAGCGGAGCCAGCAGTAGGTCGGGTACGTGTACTTCCGCGTCTACACCTGAGGCTTAGCGACCACCGTGCTGTACTGTCTTTAAGGTGCGTGGGGATGGGAGGGGGAGCCAGAGCCTGGCCTTCTCAACTGTCACCTGAGGTCCCCGAGGGACCTCTCAGGAACCCCCAGAACTGCCCCGATCTAGAAACTGCTGCTGCCGACAAAGTATAAACCAGAATCCAGAGCAGAGGGGGTACCGCCTGGTGGTGTGGCGACCCCGCCAAATAGCGGGAGGGTGGCGTGTGGGCGTGTGGGCGTGTGGGGAGGTTCAGGATGGAGCGCCAGAAGCTCAGCGCGGGGCCAGGATACTCCGTGGCTTGTCAGCGCTTGAGCGGGGAAATCTTTCACGAAGTCTCGTATGCTTGTAAAATATATGCAGCACGCCTGCCACGCTTGGATAAAATTGTCCAGTATTTGCAGTCCTTTAGTTTAAGGGGGCAGGAGGGAACACCAGGGCGAGTGAATGAAACTCTAGGGCATGTTGCAATCTGTGACCATCCACTCCCCACACAGAAGGCGCGCTTCGAAGAGCAGGTCAGACCCTTTGTGGTTAGCGCGGGGAGGGCACAAATTCAGCCGCTGTCTGCTAAAGCCATTTGAAAAGGTTGTGAAAACAGCTGGTTTTCCTGACTGAGCTGATTATTCCTCTCTGCCCTCTTGTAGACATCGTTCATCCGGCGGGCACACCCTTTCTTTCTCCTTTTCTTTCCCTTTGGTCTCCAAGTATCGAAGCTGTCAAACTCTGAATCGGAACGGATGAGAAGGAGACCTTTGTTGCTTTTGTTCACTGCGAAAACTGAAGAGAGGAGCAGGACCGTGAGGTGTTCCTGGCAACGGCGAGCACCTCCCAAGTGCCTGGCGTTTGACGAAACGCTTTCTATGTGGACTATCCGTCCTGCCAACCCTAAGAGGCAAAGGCCGTTCCAGCTGGGAAGGCATATCCCAGAGATGTTAGAGAAAAAACCTGCCAAGGTCACGGTGCTGGTGGTCAGTGAGAGCGTCAGCCAGACTCGAACAGGGAGCTGCCATTGGGACAACTGTGAATTCAAGATGGAGGCTGCAGAGAGGTCTCACTGGCCACGGAGTACAGGAAGTTTGCAGGGTCGTGTCCAGAGGTGACCGTGCTGCATCCTTCTCAGAGAGGGCTGCAGACACTCAGACGGACGCGTCACCTCTCTGGGTGAGAAAGGACAGAGGGAGGCCCTGCTGGTCACTCCTCCCACCGGCGGGAGAGCCAGGGCCTCCAGGGCCCACGCAGTGCCTGGGGAAGTGCTCTGCTACCCTTTCACATCCAGCTTCTCTGACCACCTCTGGGAGGTCAGAGACATTCAGCAACTTCTGGAATCCAGGGCGGGCAGGTGGCAACTCCAAAGCCGGGAGTATTTGGGAGCTCGGTCACTCCTGGAGGATATCTTGTCTTCACTGGCCGCATGCCTTGGTGGGACTTTACATTTTCTCAACGGGTGGTGGGAGAAGAAGGCTGCATCTGTGGTGCAGGAATCAGAGAAGCTTCTGGAAAGGGTTCTAGCAAAGACCTGGTCCATCCCCTTGTTACACTGATGGAAATGCAGGGGCCTCAGTCTTTTTATGTACCGCTGTTGGATTTCAGCCCCATCGGCAGTCTTATTGGTGATCACTTCTGTTAACCCTTCAGTTTTGTTTTGTTTTGTTTTGTTTTTACTGTGGTAGAATAGACCTAAAATTTACCATTTTAACCCTTTTCAAGTGTAGATAGAGTGGCATTAAGTATATTCACATTATTGTGCATCACCACTGCCTGTGGTGAAAACACCACTTTCTCATCTTCCCAAACTGAAAGTAGTCCTTCGTTTTCATTTATTTATTTTTTAGGAAGAGAGAGCTTGAGTGGGGGAGGGGGAGAGAGAGAGGAAGAAAGAATCCCAAGCAAGCTCCACACTGAGTGCTGAGCCCCATGTGGGGCTTCATCTCACGGCCCTGGGATCATGACCTGAGCCGAAATCAACAGTTGGGTGCTTAAATGATTGGGCCGCCCAGGCGCCCCAGTCCTTCATTTTTATTTAAAAGAATTTTTTTAATGTTTATTTTATTTTTGAGACAGAGAGAGACAGAGCATGAATGGGGGAGGGTCAGAGAGAGGGAGACACAGAATCCAAAACAGCTCCAGGCTCCGAGCTGTCAGCACAGAGCCCGACACGGGGCTCGAACTCACAGACTGCGAGATCATGACCTGAGCTGAAGTCTGCTGCTCAACCGACTGAGCCACCCAGGCGCCCTGCCAGTCCTTCATTTTTAAACACATGTGTGTGCTTATCCTGTGCCTGACTGTGTCCCAAACACTTCGCGTATATTAACAAGTCACCCTCGCAACAATTCTACGAGGTAGGAGTTATAGCTATCTCCACCTTACAGATGAGACGACTGAGGCACGAGAAATTACGACGGCACAGTTATTAAATATCAAAGCCAGACTTCACAGTTAGGATGCCTGGCTCCAAAGCCCGAGCTCTTGATGACCCCAGAAACTGTTCCAATGCCTGCAACACTTCCCCGGGGCAGGCAGCTGAGGTCATCTCCTCCCGCCGCCACCCCAGCTGCCACCTGGCAGAGAAGGCAGGAAGAGGGGGCTCCCAGGATGGCAGGTCTGGGTCATGCATGGGTGGAGGGAAGGACCTTCTCTCTGCGTCCTTCCATCATGGGGCATATGGGGAGATGAGGCGGACAGGTAAGCCTTCACTTTCTTCCTTCAAATTCAGGAAACGAGGTGCTTCTAGGCCTTAAGAAGAATTGCAATATGTATCTGGCTGACTCAGGACCCTTCAGATAGAGCGAGAGACATCATGTGCATGCGTGTATGCATGGGTTGGTGTTGGGAGCCCGTGCAGGACTGGATTATGGAGGTGAGTGCCTCAAGTCTGTCTGTGTGGCCCTGGCCCCCGACCTGGAGGCAGGGGCTTCCTTCCAGTGGGGGACATTTTGCAGCATCCTCAGAGGCGTGGCCTCTGATGGACCCACCTGCTTCCTGCCCCTGAGTGTGGACCACGCCAAGCTGGGATGCACAGGGTTAAGGCCCCGCGAGGACTGACAGCTTGATTAGGACTCGCATCACCAGCCTCAGGGTGTGCACCTGCCGCGATAGCCGTCTGCCAGGTTTGCTGTGATGTGCAGTCACCCGAGCACCTGGGGACAGAGGCCCTCAGAAAGATTGTGGGGCAAAGCTCAGCTGGCTTCCCTTTGGCAGATTTGCATAAGGCCCCATGCTTCCTTTTTAGGTGGAGAAGACCAGCCAAGAGAGGATGAGGCGGGGGGAAGGGAGGCCTGGGGGTCAGTGCAGGGATTCGTGTTTACTGAACATTTGCTTTGTGCAAAGCTACATATTTTACGCAGTTTGGCTCCTTTAATCCTCAGAGAGTTTCTCATCATCTTTAGGGATAAAGAAATAGAAGCTCAGAGAAAGCCAGCAATATTAATATCAATAACCACACGGTAATATCATTTGTAAGATGACCATGTAGGAGAGTTAAGGGAACAGGTGCTCAAGTCAACTCGTGTGAAGCTTAACCAACTGTAAGACCTCGTACAACTCACTTAACCTCTCTGTGCCTCAGTTTCTTCATCCATAAAATGGAAATCATAATTGTTTGTTTCTCTTAGGTCTTCTATAAGGATGGGGTGGGTGCTTGGTGCAGGGCCTGAAACAATGCTAGTACTCAGCAAATGTTAGCTAAAACCATAATGAACAAGCAATAACAGTCTACTAGGCTCCGGGCTAAGAGTTTCTTTCCACTACATTGTTTAAATACAGTAACTCCAAGAAATTGGCATTATCATCTGCTAGCAAAAATGAGGCTTGAAGAAGTTAGTGGAGCCCCCAAGGCCACAGAGCTGGGAGGAGTTTGGGTGAAGATTCCAGTGCTTTCCTCTCTGCAGAAGCTGTCCTTCCTGTCGCCCAGACCTCCTCCAGTCCTCTGCCCTGCACACTGGTGAGCGCTGGCATTTTCAGGCCCCCAGCATGGCCTTGCTGCCTCCTGGAGGCCAGCACCACCTCCTGCCCCAGTTCTCCCAGCTCAGATGGGCTTCTCTGGATGTACGCACCTGTCTGATGCTCAAAGGCAGGATAATACTCTTCATTGCTGAACAGATCAGTCCACGACATCAGGGGGTCGCAGAAGGACGTGTTGGGCAGGAAGGTACTGTGTGTCACTGAGTCCAACATCACCCTGCAATGGCAGGAGAGGACTGTGAGGAGGCAGACAAGGGCCACGCTGCAGGAGCCCCCAGCTGGGCACACTTGTTTTTTAAAATTAAAAAAAAATTTTTTTTTTGTGCTTATTTATTTTTGAGAGAGAGAGAGAGACAGAATGCAAATGGGGGAGGGGCAGAGAGAGTGGGAGACTGAATCCGAAGCAGGCTCCAGGCTCCGAGCTGTCAGCACAGAGCCCGACACGGGGCTCGAACCCATGAACTGTGAGATCATGACCTGAGCTGAAGTCGGACGCTTAACTGACTGAGCCACCCAGGTTGCCCCACGCTTGGTTTTTAATAACAAACATGTGGCCTCCTAGGAACCAGGCACCCCTCTAAGTGCTTGCCACAATGACGTTATTCAGTCCTTGCCACATCCCGTGAGGTTTGTACATCTATCCCCAGTGTGTATATGAGAAAACATAGGCAGAGGGGTTGAAAAACAGTTGCCCACGTAACATGGCCAGTAAGTGGCAAAGCTCGGGTTTTAAGATAGAGACTCTTGTGATGTAATACTGCTTTTTTCTTTACTTTTCCTACCGGCTCACATCTGACCCCTGAACTCTGGCTTATACTGTGTAACGATCTGCTTCTGAAAGTTGGGCAAGAATTGCTATACGTAATATACCCGCAAACCCTTACCCACAATCCTGAAATCCAAAAGCTCCGAAATTGAAAGTACGTGTGTGTGTTTGGTGCAAACTTATTTTCCAGCAGAAAAGCTCCCCCGCCCTGCCAAACAGTTCTACATTAATGTTAAACAGTTTTATGTACGGCTATGTATATATTATATCCATACGTCTGTATACAGGCATAGAAAACTTCTACTAAATATATGTATACATGTATATGTATATAAGTGACATATTATATGTGTATAAACACATATAACTATAGTTATAGTTTTACTTATTCTACTTGATGAATATTCATATGATACATACAACACACATGGTTCCTATGATTCCTAGAAGGAATATTCTGTATTCTGCAGTGTATACACTGGAAAACCTTCCTAATACCTGAAGGATTCTGAACTCTGCAGCACATCTAGCCTCGGGGTTTTGGTTAAGGGAGTGAGGATCTGTGGTAATCGGAACATACACTTACTACCTGTTGGGCTCTGTGCTGAGCATTTTACTACTTTATATTCATTATTCATGGTCTCCTCGGGACAAACACTCTGAGACAGATTCAGATTCTGGTAGTGGTTCTGTGTGAGTGATGCAGACGGATGCTCTAAGATTTCAGGTAACATACCCCAAACCACCTGTTTGGCAGGTGGTGGAATTTGGGTTTGCCCATTTAAGAAGTCATGGTCCTAATCACAGAGCTGTACTTCCTGCCCGCACTGGCGAGGAGGGAGATTTGGGAGAAGGCGTCTGGTCAAGGCTGGAAAGGGGGAATGGGCTGGGGGCCCTCACTCGTGTGCATTCTTGCCCATGCTGGTCTCATCTTTCAAGTTTGCTGCTTCCCATATTCCCACATTTTAGGGGAAAAAAAAAAAAAAGAATTCATTTTTGGTGGGTTAGAAAAATCTGTTTGCCTGACTTCTCTTTTCTGATTATCACAATAATGTTGACGAGGTAGGGTGCTTCTGTTCCCACTTTGCAAAGGGGACCCAGCAGCTCAAGATCACACAGCTGGTAGGTAAGCGTCAGAACAAAGACTGGATGCCAGGTCTTGGGACATTGAGCGTATAGAATTTTCAGATGGCCAGGAGCTTATTAACCATCTAGCCCCGTGTTTCACAAACTTTAGTCATTTGCCTACCATCCCGATAATTTACTTAATCCGTTAAAAAAATCAACTCCTTTTTTGTTTACTTATAGGTTTGTTTATTTCCTTTTAAATAAGCTTATTTAAAAGGAAAACTTGGTATCGCCATGATAAATGGAAAGTCGGTATCCTTTTAACATGCATAAAAACAAAGACATTTAAATAAAAACTGTTGGCCCATGCAACACCTAAATCAGAGGTTAGCGAACTACAACTTAAAGGCCCATTCCAGGCCACCACCTATTTTTGAATGGTCCACAGCTAAAAATGATTTTACAGTTGTAAATAGTTACATAGTAAATGGTTATATAAGTACCTACCTAATACAATTGATTTTGCCTTTTGGCCTGTGTATCCTAAAATACTAACTACCTGGCCCTTTAAGTACAAGTTTTCCTACCTCTGATCAGATCTAGCTCTTGTATAGTAAGTGGTGTGAATGCCACATGTTGAAAAGTCCAGAATTAGTCCAATCTTTCCTTTTACCCCATCATTGTACAGTTGAGACAATTAAGGCCCAGGGACTTTGTGTATCTTGCTCAAGGTCAATGGGTGTCAACATTGTGTTGTAGAGAGTGCTTAAGGTTTCCGAATTTTGGCCCATCTGCTTTCTTTTCTAGAAACACTCACAGTCACATCTGCCTATAGACACACCCCTAACACACTTACCTATCAAATGGACCTCAATACTAAGAAGGGCAGGGATTGTGTGATTCCAGAATCAAAGGCCGATTCTTTGGGGGTTCTTGAAGATCTACCGTCATTATCGTCATCAAATGTGCACGAACATTTGGATATTAACAGAGAACAGAGAAATAGCCGAGTACAAATTCTCACGCTCTGGCACCCTTTATGGGCCATTATTAGAGAATCACCAGACCTCACTGGGAAGCCTCTTTTCTGATGCCCAGAAAGGGTTAATCTGCTTGGTGGGTTATCATGCTCATGGATCTCCCCCTGGGAGCCTAGCAAACAGAGGTCAAGGCTGCCTGAGTTTGGACTCTGATTTTCCCACGGATTGGCTGCTTTTATATCCTGAGCTGGGGGTAGGATGAAACGGGATGGGGGCGGGAGCTATGAGGGAGCTAAGGGCCGCTGGAGCCCAAAGCCCCTTCTGCATTCTGGACGCCACCTCAGAAAAGCTCCCCTAAGTGACGGCTGAAGGTAAAGTCTCAGAAAACCGAGGAAGAAGATGGCGGACCTTTGACATGACCTTCACGGGGAGGTTTGGAGAAAGGAGAGGTGTCCTTTATATGGAAGAAAATAGAAAACTGTCCCAGGTCTTCCCCATCAATTAGAAATTTTCCAGATTAAAAACCACAACAGCAGGAGTGAGCACTTCTTCACTTACACCTCAAAAGTCATTTGGTAAATTGAATTTGATCATAAAAAATCAGGAATATTTTACATCAGTAGGATATTTACCCCTTTGAGGGTTTCTTTTCCATTTAATACCAACCTACTTACTTGCCCTGCAATTTCTCTACTGCTGTACGCAGCATCAGATCTGATTCCCTTTGGTAATCCCTTCTCTGACAAATTATATCCATTAAGTTTTCTTAAAGGGCTCTCAGGTGTACCACGGGCAATTTTTTTTTTTTTTTGTAATTATTTCTTGCTTCTTGGAAAAATGTTTTTTTTTTTTATAAAAGTGTCAAATTTAAAAAAAAAATTTCTATTTTTTTTGCTCTTACAGTAGGAGGGGGTATCATTAACCCTGGTCTTTCCACAAAAGACTCTGGCCACTTAGTCAGCATACGCTAAGGCATGAGAGTTCAGGAATAATGACTAGTTGGTACCCAGTGGCCTAGCTTCCTAGGCCCTCGAAAGTCCTTGCAATAGTTGAACATTTTCGCTCTTAAGATTTCTTTCACGTAGGTGGAACAGGGTGAGGGTAGGGGGGAAAAGAACTGCTATTTGAAGCCCCATTTCTCAACCAGTACATTGAGTTCCAGCAATAGGTAGGCCCAGGCTTGAAGTTTGACCGTGTGTTCCCAATGGGGGTGACCTTGACCCCCGAGGGGAAACATTGGTTCTTGGGGGTCAAAATAAATCTTAGACATTATTATGTCTCATGGTCCTCTGAAGGGCCACGGTACATAAATGATACACATAAACATAAACGGTATCTATGGGGGGGGTGGTAATGCAGTAGTAATGACTATGAAAACATTATCTATAAAGCCTCCTTAGTGGGGACGACAATGAAAACATGGTTGAGAAGCACTGGGTTAGACCTGGAGTCAGCCACAGGACAAGAGGGGAGATCCAAGGAGGGTCCTGGGCCTCCTGTTCTAGCCACACAGTTTTGTTTTTTGAGGTGCTGGCTGGTTTGTCATCATGGAAAGAACACGGGCCTGGGGGCCATGATTCTGCCTCTTGTGTCTCCATTCTTCATTCACTAAATGAACCCACCGATGAGGGGGGCTCTGAGATGTGCCCTGGCCCCATGATTTTCTGCAGGCACCCACCTGAATGGACCTTCACATCCAGACATGTGCCCGCACACATGTACCCATACATGTTGGTGATACTGGATACCGTGGTCAAGCAAGCTCGCTAAGTTGGAGTAAAATCCAACCAATACAAATGGAGATTAAACTTTCAGCTCTGCCAAGTTCCCCCAGTTTCCTATTCTCCCTTCCCTCCTATGTCTGCTACTTTTAGCAGTGGGCTCTAGATATTCTTTGCCTGGGCTAGCCAGATCCCTTAAGCACTTTGGACCCTCACTCACTGCCCATCAACACACCCACAGCTTTTGGAATCAGTTTCCCCCACGACTACCTTTGTAGCTGCCTAGTAAGTAGGAAAGGCTCAAGCATAATCCACACAAGGGGAGGGAATCAGGTGGGTTCCCTTCCACGCACGAGAAAGGCTGGCCACAGGTACCTTTTGGAATGAGACAGTGATAGCAGGGAAGCTCAGATCCTTGGTGCCTCTACTGGCTTTCTAACCCTTCTGAGAGCCGGCTCACTCACCAAATATGCACAGGGACGGTCCGCACAGTCAGAGGGACAGTCCTGTGGGCTTCCTGCCCCCACAGGAGTCAGAGGCAGCAATCACAGGTGTGGTGCCCATGCCCTGAGCAAACAGGCACCTCTGCTCAGCCTTCCAGAGAGAGAGGAAGGAGCGAACCACCCAGGCTTGGCCAGTTTGCCAGAGGAGGAAAATTCCTTCCTGACCCTGGCAGAG